TCTTGTGGAAGAGCAGCCATCACCACTCTTGACTAGCATAATTGGTCTGTTTTAAAGGTGGACACTGGTGCAAGGCCAGATTCTGGACTACAAGGACCCCAAGAGCCATTCTGAAGTCAGGGCCTCTTATATACACTAGCAATCTGCTTTGGAAAAAGAAATGTGGAAACTCAATGAGTAGATTTTCTTATGGTTCAGCTGTGTCTCTATAGCACTGGTTCTAAAACGCCCATGTGCACTAGAGTCACCTGGAGGGTTCCAGAAAACACAGACTGTGGGCCCCACCCCTGGAGTTTCTGAGTCACTATGTCTGGGTGGCACTGGGGAAGTTGCATTTCTAATCAGTTCATGGAGGATGCCGATGATACTTGTTCAAGGACCACGCTTTGAGAATTGCTGCGTAAGATGAAGGTATGTAGTGATGGGGACGATGATGGCCAGAGAAGAGAGGATAAAGCCGGGTGTCCTGTGTCTCACCTGGTGCAGCCCCACTCCTTTGTGAACAGACCATGGTGTTGCCATGGTAACTGCAGCAGGCATCACTTCCACCATTTTATAGAAGTGATCCAGAGCTGGGTAATGGCCTGTCACAGCTACACAGTGACTCAGCGGCCAAGCTGGAACTCTGCCTAGATCCTCACCTAGTGGTCAGAGCCTCATTTGGCCCTGGTTGGCCCCCTGAATGGTCTGGCAGGGTACAGAACCTCCCTGTGGGGACAGCTGAGGCCCTGCCCAGAACTTCCTGTGTCTTCGGAGTGTGTAGGGGCACTGACAGCAGTGTGTCTGTGGAGGAGCAGGAGGACGGTAGGAGGAACCCTCAAGTTGCCTCAGGCCTGGCCAGGCAGAGAGCAGAGATCAGAGCAGTGGCAGAGAATGGGGAGGAAGACCATCAGTGATGTCTCTACCTCCCCATGTCCTAGATGCAAGGCAGGAATCCCAGGAGTCTGGGCCACACGTCGCCCTCACCATCTGATGTTTCTCTTACAGAAAATTACCTGCTCAAGAATGGCACCTCTGACGTGTTGCTATGTGGGAACAGCTCGGATGCTGGGTATGTGGTGCCTTACCACCTAGGATCCCCTCCCCCAAGCCAGGGAAGGTTCTTGGTGCTTTCTCTGCTAACTATGCTTTCTTTTTATGTCCCTGACCCCAGTGAGGCTGTCCCTTGTCTCTTTTACCTGCCAGGACCCTAGCAGCTTCCCTACTGACCCCAGCACAGAGGAGACAGCTGGTAAAGAAAGGTCAGAGACAGATCTGCAGGAATGGCTAATAGCTTCAAAGATGGACTGGGACTGGGGAGCATCCCAGGATGCCCTACATGGCCCTTGCCAGCCCAGTCTTGTTATATTCCCTTCTGGAAGCTCCCTAGGGCTGCTCCCTCCCACCCTAGTTTTCACTTCCTCCAACTGTCCTCAAGTGTAAGTGTGTCCTCTGGAGCAGCTTCCGGGCCATGTGCACACAGGGCAGGGACAGGGAGTGGGAGGGGCACACAGGCTCACCTTTTAGGGGACTGCTCTGTGGAGTTACAGTCTCACACTTGAGTGAGAAGGTCCAGAGACCAAGTTTGCTGCCTTATTCCTGTTGCTAAAGAGATTGTCTGGAGGGCCTTGGGGCATTAACAAGGTACAGCGTTCCTTTGGCTGCATCCTTACACTTGCCAAGTCTCTCTCTCTGTCACACACACACACAGAGAACTCAACACACACATGAATCCAACCCAGCACCCTCTCTTTGGGTGAGAAGTTCCACTTCCAGCTTTGTGAACTGTGGATCTGTCTCACTGAACTAGGGCCCTGTGTGCACATGAGCTTATGGCCAAGTTTACTTGGATCCTGTTCAGCTCAACCAAGCCTCACTTCTCCCCTACTTCTGTGTGCCTGTGTTGTACTCAGCTCACCATAGGGTAGACAGGAAGAGCCAGAAGCCACTTCCTTTCTGTGGGAAGAGGCAACTCATACAGTGGCTGGGAATGGTGTATCATGTGGGTGGAAGGGGGCTTGATTTTGACCTAGTAGAATACAGATAGGTAGGGAAAGAAGGAAGATGGTGTTCTGGATGGGAAGCATGGCAAGAGCAAAGTCATGGAGGCAGGACCTAGAAGTATGGCACTAGGCTTATGAGGCTCAGATTCACAGAGCAGGGAAGCATATGCTGGGTAGCACAGGGGGATAACATCCAATGAGAGGCCCAGAGGAACCCTTACAGCATGGAATAGTCTGTGTGTCTGGCCGCAGGACATGTCCTGAGGGCTACCGGTGCCTAAAGGCAGGCGAGAACCCTGACCATGGCTACACCAGCTTTGATTCCTTTGCCTGGGCCTTCCTTGCACTCTTCCGCCTGATGACACAGGACTGCTGGGAGCGCCTCTACCAGCAGGTGCGTGGGTTCCCAAGACAGTAGAGGGATGCCAGGTATGGGCTCAGGGTCCAGGCCATACAAATGACTAGCCAGAGGGGGCTCCAGCAGCCTCTTCCCTGGCAAAAGTTGTGGATGGGACAGGGGACAAGGACTCTTGCATCTGAAGGAGAGGAGTCTAATAAGCAAAGAAATTTTCTTTTTGCTGGTGACCTAGTACCAATCCTTTTATATAGGACACTCTACTATGTGAACTCCTCCATCCGATAGGATGGAATGTTCTGCCTCTGTGGGCACAGCATTTCCCCCAGTTGGGTGAGACATTCTGGCCTCCTTCCATGGGTGAGACACTGCCTACTTGTGTGTAGGTCACTTTCCTCTGGAAGTGGGTGGTGCCCTGCCTGCCTCCTAAGGCTATAACTGTTTGAACCCCTGGAAGGGGGGAGACTTGGAAATGCCATAATCCAGAAGGGGCCCTAGTGGGGATTACCTCTTCCTCCTTGCTCCCCCAGACCCTAAGGTCCGCAGGGAAGATCTACATGATCTTCTTTATGCTCGTCATCTTCCTGGGATCCTTCTACCTGGTGAACTTGATCCTGGCTGTTGTCGCCATGGCCTATGAGGAGCAAAACCAAGCCACTATTGCTGAGACTGAGGAGAAGGAAAAGCGCTTTCAGGAGGCCATGGAGATGCTCAAGAAAGAACATGAGGTGGGTAAGCAGTACCATCAAGGACCTTCTAGACCAAACTCTTACCTGATTTTGGGTACCTATAGGTATAATGCATACTGAGTAAAGCTGGTGCCTTTAGGTGCAGTGCCTGCTGGGTAAAGCTGGTGCCTGTAGGCACAGTGCATGCTGGGTAGAAGTGTTTTCTACCCATGAATGTGGTGTGTGCTTGGTAAAAATTTGGAACCTATTGAGTAAAGAAAGTGCCTGTTAGTGAGGTATCTGCTAGGTCAAAGTGGTTCCTGCTGGGTAAGGTGGGCCCTGTGATTATGGTGTATGTGGAGAAACTTGTTCTCCATGGTCACCATGTCTTCCAGGTGAAGGTGGTCCCAGCTGGGTAAAAATGGAGCATATTGGGTAAAGGTAGTCCTTGTGAGATGGTTCATACTAGATAAAAGAATCTTGTGTATTCCTGGACATAGCTTATTCTGCTCAAGGGAGGCCATCTGGTAAGGTAGGGAGAAAGGGCCAAGGTCAGAAAATAAGCACCAGTGATACCGCACTGGCTACCCACAGGATCACCTTGTAGGGAAGTGTCTGTGGAGTTATATTTCCACATCTCTTGAGTGTGAAGGCATCCACAGTCCCCCATACAGTGAATGCTGCAGGCTGATTACAGAACAAGCTGTTAGAAGACAGGCTGTCGGCATCAACTTGTTCTTCTCACTGTCCCATGCCACCTCCTTCAATATCCTTTTAGCCCGCTGAACCTTCTCGAAGATCCGTTGTCCTCTAGTTCTGCCACATTCCCTACTCATCCTCCCCCCCTCACCTATCCCACACATTTCCCTCTTCCAAGGGCTGCCCACTTTGGCCATTCCTCTTTTCTTTCCTGGATCTTGATCTTTCTCAAAAATTCAGGGTCTATGTGAGCTTATCTCCATGATACCCTCATTTTTGCATAAGTGTGCAAGTCCACTTATTGTTGGAGAAGACGAAGTCACTGAGAGTTACCTGTCCTGCCTAAGCCTGAGGCTATACAAAGTCTCAGTAATCAACACGTTCCTTCCTCTACCCTTTTTCAGGCCCTCATTATCAGGAGTGTGGATACCATGTCCCGTAGCTCCTTGGAGATGTCCCCTTTGGCTCCAGTAACCAGCCACGAGAGAAGGAGCAAGAGGAGAAAACGAATGTCTTCTGGGACAGAAGAGTGTGGGGAGGACAGATTCCCAAAATCAGACTCAGAAGATGGTCCGAGAGCTATGGTAATCACCAGCCATGGTACTGGGCCTTCTGGGGTTGATCTGGCACCAAAAGCCCATTGTGCTAAGCTACATGGTTTCTCCCCAAGGAGAACAGCCTTGGGCCCTCTCCCAGCCCTTCCTGTTTCCCATGGCCATTCTTGGAATGGAGAAGCCATGGGCAGAAGGGCAGGATGGGTTTAGGTGTTAGGATATACCCATTCTGGGGCTAATCTTCCAGCATCAGGCTGGAGCTAGAGAACTCTTATGTATGGATTGGTTGGCACCCAAGGGCATGCCTGTAAGAGTGAGGGGCACGGCTGAATGCATCAGGTCTTGCTTGGGTCAGGCTTGTTTACAACACCAGGAGCCTTCCTCCCTCCCTCTACCCTGCCTTAACCTCACCTTCAGGCCCAGATAAGCTTCAGGCTAAAAGCACCAAAGGCATAGACTTAAGGTGAGTAGAGATCTTGGAACATGCAGGATTATGTCTAACCCTACACCTCCCCTTCTAAATAACCTAGGCTCAGCCCACCTGGCTCCTATGTAGCTACATAAAGTCTCAATGCTCCAAGAAGTTGTGGGGCCAGTGCCACAAGAGATAAGCTGGAAGCATGTAAAGAGTTATTATCATGGTTATGTCCCTTCTCCCTGTGCCCTCAGAATCGCCTCAGCCTCACCCATGGGCTTAGCAGGACTTCTATGAAGCCACGCTCCAGCCGAGGGAGCATTTTCACCTTTCGCCGGCGAGACCTGGGTTCTGAGACAGATTTTGCAGATGATGAAAACAGCACAGCAGGGGAGAGTGACAGCCACCGCACCTCACTACTGGTGCCCTGGCCTCTGCGCCGGCCCAGTGCCCAGGGACAGCCCAGTCCTGGGACCTCAGCTCCTGGCCATGCCCTCAATGGCAAAAGGAACAGCACTGTGGACTGCAACGGGGTAGTCTCCTTGCTGGGGGCAGGTGACCCTGAGACCATATCCCCAGGGAGCCGCCTCCTTCACCCTATGATGCTGGAGCGCCCCCCAGACACGGTGAGCCAGCCCCATGATGCAGGCACAAGGGCAGATTGGTCTCTCAAACTGGTCACCATAGCCAGGTCCACAGACACTCATCAGATATTTATAGAGCACCTGTTGTGTCCTGGCCTCTGGGGTAAATAAACCTACAAAAAAATCTGTGCCCTCAATGTGCTCCAGTGCTAATGGCCATAGACCAATAGAAATCAAAAAAGAAAAATGTGTTTATGTATATATATGCATGGTATGTGATGGCAATAATGAAGAATAGTTAAATACTTCATAACTGCTAAAGTACAGGCAATGAGAAGCCATGGTAGCACAGGACCATTGTCACAGAGGCCCTGTGCCTTGCCATGTAAAATCCCTTCAGAGTTGCTGGATAATGGGTACACAGTCCAAGGGGTCTTGGGAGAAGGGCCGCTGTAGTGAGGAGGTTCTGAAGTTGTCCTAGGCAATAATTATACACCAAGTTTGAAACATTTCAGTATTTTCCCATCTAGTAACTCAGTATCAGCCCAAGTAACAGGTGCTGAGATGTGGGGAAGGGGAGCAGGAACCCCCCTCACTCTTTAGGAGACATTTAAACAAAAAGCAGAAGGAGGCAAAGATGGGAGCCAAGCTTCTGTCTGAAACTAGGAAAGGGAGTATGAAGAGTGGTTAGCACCTGAACTCTGGAGACATGCTAGGTTTGAATCCCAGCTCAGAGCTTACTAGCTGAATGGCTGTGGGCAGGTTACTTTATTTCTCTGTGCTTCAGATCTTTTATCTCTAAGATGGGTTAAAAAACCCATCTCATGATTATTGCAAGCATCCTATAGGCTAATAGAGGGAAAGCGCTCAAGACGTACATGAGCATGTTCATGTTGTTACAGCGTCATAGCATGTTGTTTTTACTGTCAGCTGGGGAAGCAGAGAATGACACATGCAAAGACCCTGGGACAAAGTGTGCCTAGCCTATTGGAGGAAATGTCATGAGGTTATTGTGGCTAGAAAAGAGGGAATGAAGGGGTGATCTGGGAAAGGACTGGCCAGATCATGAAAGGCCAATCAGAGATTTAATGATTCAGTCAATCCATTGACAGACTGATGACTGCTCAATCAGCATTCAGGTATCCCTGCTGACCCCTCCCCCAAATAGAGTGCCCAGAGCAGCCCACCCAGGAAGAAGCAAAGATGCCTGTGGAGAGATGGAAAAGAGCAGACTTTTGAGGAAGATGGGACTAACAGAGACTTGATGAGGAAGGTAGAGGGCCACTGAGATGGAGGGCCTTTCTTCTGCCTGCTCAGACTCTTGCTCAAGCTGTAGGACATTGTACAGCTATTTTTGCCTCAGTTTCCTCATCTGTAAATAAAATTAATACTCATGTCAGCAGGTTATGGTGAGGACTAAAGGAGTTACAACAGGTCAGGTGCCTAGACCAGCATTTGCTTTATGTTCAAGTCATTTTTATGATTTATTATTAGTTTAGTGAGTAGGAAGGAGTAAACACTCCTGTGCACATGCAGGATATCTCAGGCCTTCAAGGTCCTCTGGAGCAGGGTGCAAAGAGGAAGGACCTGGGTACCCAGGGGGAGCAGACCACAGCTTCTGGGTGGAGCTGGGGAGGCCCCAGTCCACTACCAGGAGGGTAGCGTGTCTGGCTTCCAGGAACCCAGAACCAGGCAGGTCCAGCCTCAGCCTTATGGAATCAGGTCAGCAGCCAAGGGCGCTAATAGAATTTCCTAATCTCATTAGGGAGAAAATCATCTCATTGCATTGCACATGTCAGGAGGAATCCAAGTTCAAACACTTCATTACCAGGAACTCTGACTTCACCCATTCTCACTTCTGTGGGACCCATTTGTAACCTTAAAGGGATTAACAGGCCAAGACAGGGTCATTTGCAAAGTTAAAGGGATTAGTGAACCAAGTTGGAGACATTTGAAAAGTCAAAGAGATTAGCAGGCTGCAGCCCCCAGGGAATGCTTTCTCTGCTAGGTCCCCCATGAGACATTTCTGCCCCTTTTTAGTCAGAAAATAAAGCACAGTCAGGCACACAGTGGTTGTCTAACCAACATGGGAGAGGGGAAAAAAGGATCAGGCTAATGGCAGCTCACATTTAGTTTATCCAGATGGTGAGGTGGCAGAGTGGAGTTGAAGATTTACTTTGTTGCTTGCCTATATAAGAGTGCCTGGTCCTCTTTTGGATCAGTCCCACCAATGCCCAGATTTATTTAGTGCCCACCCCAGGCCCTGGTGGGTAGCCTGTCTTCCCTTTGCTCTACAGAGACAATAGGGCCTTGCTATTGCATGCTGAAAAGCCAGATTTCTTCAGCAGCCCCAGCTTAGCACATGGGCTGTGGTCATCGTGCAGGGCCCTGCTAAGATGAAGATTCTGTGGGCCCTCCTCAGTCCTGCCGGGACCTGTGAGTAAGCCTGGAGAATGCCTATCTGCCACCTCCTTTTGTTACAGCACCCCACAACTCTGTTTTTAGGTCTGGTTCTTTATAAAAATGGCACATACACATTGAAAACAAATCCAACAGTGCAGAGGGCACACAGAGTGAAAGGGACTTCTCCCTCTCTTTTCCTACCCTACAATCCCAGTTCCTAAATAATGATTTGCTAGATCTTACAGGTCTTTTTCTTGGTTTTTCATTGAACTGCTTGTTGTCAAGAGCAGACACAGATCACTTCATTCTCTTTATTGTCTGTATCAGAGTCCAGAGTTGGAGTGTATCTATAATTTTTTTTGAGTGTATCTATAATTGATTTTAATATTCTATTGACTTTTTGTTTTGTACTTATGGTATTAGGAACAGTGCAGCAATGAACACTGTTTATGTGTATTTTTGGTACATGTGTATAATTACTTATGAAGTAAGTACATATAATCTTAGGAAGTTAGATTATGTGTAGTAGACAAGGAATTTGCAGGACCAATTTAAAATTTTCTTGGTAGATCCAGCCAAACTGCCTCCACAGAAGACATGGGCTCCCACCAGCCACATCTAAGCATTGTGCTTCATGCTTATTATTGTCATCTCAGAGCATGTTCTTGGGAGTGTTTTTGTTGTTGTTTTTTTTTTAGCTTCAGGGAGATTGTGGTCAATTAAGACTCTCAGATCGGCTCGGC